TTTCAAGGATTCGGTTTGGACCCGACCGATTAACACCCCTACTAATCAGATCCTTAAATTCTATTGATCTTCCACATGGGTATATAGAAATCGTTTTTGCAAACAGCTATAAAAAATTTTCCGACGTGGATGATATAAAGTGAATTGCAAACGCCAAAGTCAAGCCTAATGCAAAATAGAGCATCAATTATAACTTTTTATCATAAAGGGGATGACATAAGCGTGAAATTTACTTCGATTGTTATATAGAAATTAGGTGTGATACACTTACCATTATTGACTTGATATGAGCGATGAAAAGGGAAAACCTGTAAATCATTTCATTCATTATCATCGCAGTGAATTTTACCCCTGAGGACTCCTCAGGGTAGAATTCACTGGAATGATAATGAGTGAAATGATTTACAGGTTTTCTCTTTCCGTCACTATAATTAAGACTTATGTTAAATTATACCTTGAAAAATAGACTGCTTTAAAAAAATTTTAAGATTCGTTCGCAAGGAAAAGACAACGCTCTACTGTATTAGCTCAGTAAAAGTTATTGAGAATAGATAATGATTCTATAATCAATCGGGATTTCATTTAAGCCAAGGTTTTACTGATAACTTATCCTGAAAAATAAATTCAGTTCAAAAAATTAGAATAACTTCCTTTTAAAATTATAATCACCATATGAAAATGTGATATTAAAGATATTGACAAGTTTTAACTTAATAAAGTACTGTATAATAAAATACCTGGTATGATAAAGGTGTTAACATAAGGGTTAAATTTTTTCTGGTAACGATTTTCCACGCAAAGCATAATTTTAATTGACAATAAAGTCATACAAGATTAAATTTTAATTGCCACGTTGAGTCGAAAAAGAATGCGCATCTTTGTTACAACATTGAAATTGAAATGACATTTAATGCATATCTAATTCGTGTGGTATATAAAAATAGATACGCTCACGTTCAAATTTATCGATGCTTCCCAATTGAGAAAAGTTTAAAACCATCAGTTGAAAATATTAAAACAGGGTGCGATCTGTTGACTATCATTCATGCTTTTCATATGGAAATGATTTATGAAAAGGGAATATGAAAGTCAAGGATTTAAATATTTATATTGTTGGTAGTTATATTTTTTTGACATCTTTGACACACATCAAATCGAGACGATGTATGCAATACTCACTATTCCTATCTGTTTTTTTCTATTCTGTTTTCTTCTATTATGTAAGTTTAATATTAAATTTTTATGCATCAATTTGTGCTCGAGACATAAAACTTATCATCGCATAAAATCAATTTCTATAATTTGATCCAAATATATATAATCCTTTTAAAATCGAAGGTTATCGAATCCCATTAGCGCTCCTATTATACTTTTCAACTCTAGTAACTGAACAAAAGCGAACACCACCAAATTTAAAACAACGATTAACTGCAGCAATCGTCAAGACAATTGTTGAAACATTACCATTATGGATGATAAGATCTATATTTGATTTGACGGGCGTCATTGAACAAATCACAAATGGAATGTATGCGGGTAAACAAAGAGATAAATGGTGCCGTCGACTGAAGGGTGGGGATGGATGGGATGGATACCTGATTGCTGAAGATGCCGAAACTGCTGATGTTGGAGAAAATGCCGATATGGTTATCTTATATGCGCATGGTAATATTTCTTAACTAATTTGTTACATATTTGTTGAAAAATATTATAAAATTTTTTAACACGATTTTGCAATGTTGTAGGGGGTGGTTTAAATGCTGGTGGAGCCTTGTTATCCTTGGTGATTTTTGTGAGGTGGATTAAAGCATGGAAGCTTAGTCATGGGGCTAATACGCACATATTATCGCTAGAATATGGTATAATGAATTCTTAAATTCTTAACGCACTAGACTTTATTTATGTTGCATTTTATGTAACATCACAGGAATTTCACCGGAGCATGTCTTTCCTTCGGCACGTGACAGCATGTTAAAATGCTATCAATGGTTAATCAACGAGAAAGGAATTAGCCCATCCAAGATCACTTTTGGTACTGTATGTGTAAATGCCTTAAATCCTACTAGTCATCATCAATTCTTACAATATTATCAAATTAATAGCCGGTGATAGCATTGGCGCAAACCTTGCCACAACAGCATCCTTAGAGCTTCTCAACAATCCGGTTGCCTACAATAACACTCCTCTACCATCACGTTTGCTCCTTATCTCTCCTTGTCTATCAGTAATTGCTTTTCAAATACATCGTCGTTAATAATAATTTTTACGACTGATGCTGATTTTTGGAGTCTCAATTTGAACCCATTACACCTGCCAAAACTTGCGTACGCACGTGCGTACGTACCTATCGTTATATTCTAACCCTAAAAATAAAAAAAAAAAAACCTCAAAATACTTTTAAAATAGGTCCAAAATCAGCATTAGCCAAATCAGCGTGGCGATATATTGCATTACCATTTTAACCATAAATTATATCTTTACAATAGGCACTCACCACCTCACGAACGTTCGAAACAAATTATGATTATGACTGTATAAGTAAGATTTGGTTCGATTTTTGCTTAGCAAACTCCCTGGATAAAACCAATTTTCATCCAACGAGCCCTTTAATATCCCCGTTATTCGAGCGTAATTTACGTGGTTTGCCAAAAGTGTGGGTATGTGTTGGTGGTTACGAAGTATTCCTTGATGACGTAATGTCATTCGTGGAAAATGTCAGAAACCAAGATGTTAGTGCTGAACTTTTGGTCGAGCAAGATAACGTGCATAATTATGCTATTTTGTGGCCGTTATCAAGACATGGAGGTGCGCAGAGGGCTACGAAACATATGTCTAGATTTTTGTTTGGTGAGAGATCTGTTAGTCAAAATCCAAGAAATTAAAGGATTATATGTGAATACGTAAATAATTTTTATTAAATCTTTGAAAAACTATTATTTAAGTTATTTAATGTAAAAACCTAATTCAATTTTATTTTAGGGCTAATTTACTAAATCAAGAATATATTTTCTTGGATATTTTGAATGAATTATTACTATTTTACTTTATAGATTCTAATTTGCAATAATAGCAGTCGCAAATGACTCTTGGTATTATTTTGTTTATTTTATACTTTTAAATAATTAATTTCTAAACTGTTAGTTTTACATCAGTAGTAGGCAAAATTTTTCTTTTAAAATTATTAATATATATTTATATTTAAAATAATAGCTAATATTATCAAAAAACGAAAAAAAACTGTTATTTATATACGTAGTTTAAAAATTAGCAAATATATTTTTTATATTTTAATTACTATTTATATAATATATATATACTGTATATACAGTCTAACCTCACTATAATCACACACTTGGTATACAAAACAGTGTGATTGTAAAGAAGTGACAATTATAGAGTTCAAATTTATTATATTTAATAATGGATTGTTTTAAAAAAAAATGTGCCTATAAAGAAAATGTGCCTATATAGGAGGTGACTATAAAGAGGTTTGACTGTATTTACTTTTATTTAGCTAGTTTAGATACTGTATTAAATATAATAAATTTGACCTCTATAATTGTCACACTTCTTTACAATCACACTGTTTTGTATCCCAAGTGTGTGATTAGACTGTATTTAATATTAGTGACTTGAATCGGTTGAGCTATAATTGGTTAACCGATCCGAACCGAATAAATTCAGGTAACCGGTTGAGGAAATTCTTAATCGGTTGACCCGATAGGCGGTATGAGAAAATGTCAAAATGACGTAGGGAGAGTAAAGGATCCGAAAAGTTCTAAGAAAATAAATGATCATAAAAGATGAGCAAGATCGAGACAAAAATTAGAGTAAAGCTCCGAAGGTAGTATAGATATTAATCTTAACCAGTTGGTAATCGGTGAATAGAATAATTCAGTTCGGTTAACCGATTAAAAAAATTTTTCTCGGTTCAAATCACTATTTAATATATATAATTATTATTACGTAGTAGTGGTTCGATCCGAAATCTGTTAATCTGGATATCTGCTTCAAAATCCGGGATAACAGATATTCGACCTAACAAAAATAATCCGCATCGGATTATTTGACAAATATCCGTTATCCATCCAGATCCATAAAAACTTTATTATACATTTTATCATTTGATTTTATGACAAACCAGAGAGTTTTACAATCAGCAATGATTTATCATATACGCCTTGCTCACTAAATTTTTGGAAAAAGACGATTTGCAAGTAACTGATAAAATTGAAAAATACTTCAAAGTATCAAGATCATTGCGAAATTTCTAATTTTATCTAAATCTGGTAAAAATATACTTGGCAATCCCTGTAACCTCAACTTAATGAGCATCCATTCAGCAGTGTCAGCAATTAATTAAATTAAAAAGAACTATTTAAAAAAATAATGTTCTTGAAAAGAAATATCGACAGATATCAAAATATTCATCCTCTTGAATAAGAAATATATAAAAATTTGCAAATTTGTTCACAATAAATATTATTTATTTGCTTCTAATAAATATAATATATGATGCCGGAAGCTTGTATCTGACAATCACGTGAAATGTTTCAATTTTCACGTGACTGGAATTGACTAATAAAATTGATGTATTTCAAACATCTTTGCAAATATTGCGCCAAAAACATAGCAATTTTTAAAATGCTAAAACTTTTTAAAGACAAATCTTTTTAAAAAACTGACCGATAACTTTATATATAGAAATAAGCTCTACAAAGTTATCGGTTAAAAGCCTCTTCTATAAAAAGTTATACCGATTTGAAGATTGATATTTTTTTCGAACAGCTATAACTTTCTACAGAAGAATTTTTTTAAAAAAATTAACTGTTAACCTTGTAAAGCTCATTTCTATGTATAAAGTTATCAATCAGTTTTTTAAAAAAATTTGTCTTTAAAAAGTTTTAGCATTTTAAAAAATGCTATGTTTTTGGTGCAGTATTTGCAAAAATGTTCAATTTTATTAGTCAATTCCAGTCACACAAAAATTGAAACATTTTACGTGATTGTCAGGTGTAAGCTTCCGGCACCATACATATAAATCAGATATTTTCTCAAAAGAACATAAGTTAATACTGACTAATTATTTCCTTACAGAAAAATGGCTTTTGAGAATTTAAGTTACATTATTATATTAATATTAAAACAAATCTATTAATTAGCAATTGCAGTATTGTATCAGTATCAATAAAAATGAACTTCATATCAATTATTTTTTAAACAAAAGTAAAATAGTGGCCTAGAATATAATTAAGGAATTTTGAAACAGAGTTGGGTATATTTAAAATTACAAGCTTGTAAATATAGATCTCAGCAAAATTTATTCTCTTGAGAATAAAATATCAAACAAAAACTTTATAAAAATTTTGGTTGTGTCAGAAGCACTTATTTTCTTTAATATTTTAGATTATCCATTTTTTTCAGGAGTCAAATCCGGGTCAGATAGAATTTAAATATTCGGATCGCATCACTAATTGTTAGTATTAGTTACTAAAATAGTCTAGTAAAAATCACTACTATATAGTCTTGGAATAACATCCATCTGCGCATTATTTTGAGTAATAATAAAATGTGGAAGATCAATAGAATTTAAGGATCTGATTAGTAGGGGTGTTAATCGGTCGGGTCCAAACCGAATCCTTGAAA